ATAACGTGGCGACCTATGCTGACTCTAGCATCAGACCATCTACCCATAGTCATCTCGATTGATAAACCAACCGACTTTGCCTCCGCCAAACACCGGACCTATGTCAACTTTTCTAAAGCTGACTGGAAAGGTTACGCGGAGTTTACTGAAAACACCTTCACATCGCTCCCCACACCAACCGACGTCCATCTCGGTGAACGTAAGTTCCGCAGGGCTATCACTGCTGCTGCAGCTCGCTTCATACCGGCAGGGTGCATATCGGACCCACGTCCAAACTTCCCTGCCGAAGCGGCTGTTTTAGCAAATGAGCGTGATAGCCTTCGTCAGGCCGATCCCGGAGATCCCCGTATCAGGGATCTCAACGCGGAGATTCGGCAACTTGTAAACGTACATAAGCGGAAGAAGTGGGAGGAGCATCTGAAGACTTGCAACTTCACCTCTGGTGTGAGCAAGCTTTGGTCAACCGTGAGGTCATTGTCTAATCCGACGAAGCACGACGACAGAGTCGAAATTTCCTTCGGCGACCATGCTTCGTCGGACCCGGAGCGATGCGCGAGCTATTTTAGCCGGCAGTTCATACTGCATCCTCCGGTGGACAAAGCCAAGCGTCGAGTGACCAGAAGGCTGCACAAACTGCCAACAACTTGTGCCCCCCTTGCTTTCACTTGCGGTGAAGTTCAGGTGGCCATCGGGAAGGCGAAAGCCTCCAAAGCCATGGGTCCCGACGGAATATGCATGCTGATGCTGAAAAATTTGGGTCCTGCGGGGGTAGCGTACCTAACGGAGGTCCTCAATTTGTCAATGGCCACTCTCATCATCCCAGACATCTGGAAGGTGGGGAGAGTGGTCCCACTGCTCAAACCGGGGAAACCTGCAAACAAAGGAGATTCGTATCGTCCGATTACACTCCTTTCCCCGGTAGCGAAGACACTCGAGGCCTTGCTACTCCCGTACTTCACAAATCACCTGACCCCAGCGAAGCATCAGCATGGCTTCCGTAAAGTGCACAGCACAACAACAGCACTCAACGCCATAAACACTCAGATAACTCGTGGCCTTAACCGTAACCGTCCCTGTGAGAGAACGATTCTAGTAGCGTTGGACTTGTCAAAGGCGTTTGACACCGTCTGCCATTCCACGCTACTAGAAGATATAGAGGCCTCCTCTCTCCCACAGAGGCTCAAACGGTGGTCGGCAAATTATCTAAGTGGTCGACATTCGTCGGTAATGTTCAGAGACAAAACGAGTAAGCAGCGAAAAATAAAACAGGGGGTTCCTCAGGGTGGTGTCCTTTCCCCGCTACTGTTTAACTTTTATATTTCAAAGCTCCCTCAACCACCAGAGGGAGTCTCGATTGTCTCCTATGCCGACGATTGCTCGATTATGGCGACTGGGAATGGAATTGATGACCTGTGTTCGAAAGTAAACGGCTATCTCTCCGAACTTTCTCGCTTCTTCACTGCAAAGTGTCTAGCCCTCTCCCCTACGAAATCCTCCGCGACCCTGTTCACAACCTGGACGAAGGAGGTCAGGCTACCGCTGGGGATTCACGTCGATGACACACCAATTCCGACGGTGAATAACCCCAAAATACTCGGAGTAACTTTCGACAGTCTGCTCTCCTTCTCTGCGCACTCAACCGCTATTGTCAATAAAGTACAGAGCCGCAACAAGGTCCTCAAGTCGCTAGCCGGCAGTACTTGGGGCAAAGACAAAGAAACGTTGCTGGCAACATACAAGGCAATAGGCCGGCCGGTTTTGAACTACGCAGCGCCAGTGTGGTCGCCTGGGACTAGTAGGACGCAGTGGACGAAGCTACAGACCGTACAAAACACCGCACTGAGGACAGCGACGGGATGCCTCTTGATGACGCCTGAACACCACCTGCACGGCGAGGCGCAAATGCTCCCGGTAAAGGAGCACAATATTATGCTCTGCAAGCAGTTCCTGATCGGGAGCCACAGAAGTGGCCACCCGAGCAGACAGCTGCTTGCAGAGGAGCCCTCGCATAGGCACGTCAGGAGGCATCTATATGAACTAACGGACGAAGTCCAGAGGTTCATTAAGCAACCTCTGGACCCGACAGCCTACAGACAGGCCTTGAACGGCATTCACAGGGACTCAGTCTCGAGTTATGTAGACTCTAGACCTGTGAACGCCGTTCTAGGCACACCACCCCCGGACATTGACGAGACGGAGCTTCATCTGCCTCGGGAGACGCGCACTACACTTGCACAACTTCGCTCCGGCTACTGCAGCAGGTTAAACTCCTACTTGAGTAGGCTGAATGAGGATGTGCCAAACGAATGTCCGGCATGCGGAGAGACCCCACATGACTCGAAACATCTCTTCGCATGCCCGGCAAACCCGACATCCCTAACGACCTGGTCCTTATGGGCAAACCCCGCAGAAGCTGCACGCTTCCTAGGGTTGCCGTTAGTGGAACTTGACGACAACGACTGAGATACCAACCGATCTGGGCGGGGTTGTTGTAGCCGCTACAACAACAACAACAACAACATGAATCAGAAGGAGTCGATCTTTAGAAAAGATTTAGAATTATTTTGGCCCTATCGGATGTTCGATGCCTCTACTGGACTAAACAAATTTACCTTTCGTTGAATATAAACTAGAAAAAATAAAACATTCACCATAATTCTTTCCGAAAGGATGCATTTTTAATATCTCTTGCGTCCTATATCAAAATATGAGTTTTCATAAAAACTGGACTTAGCAACTTTTCACTGTAAGCTAGCGATATGTATGTATTACATGAAGTATGTGGAATGTTTTTTTAACAATCTCAAGGCAAATTCATACAAGGTGGTAGCGGTAGCTCAAAAATTAAAATCTACACTAACAAATGATGCGCCCAATGACAATCAGAACAAAACAAACAGTACAACCGCAGCGAAAATCCAACTTCGCCGGCAACACCACCTTAAATGAATTCGCCTCGAGTATTTTTTACCTAAACGACATCTAAAAACCTGACTCATTTCAACAGATGCAGACTTGCGCAGCAAAGTTAAAATAAAATATTTGTTGTTTTGAAATTTTTTGTTTTTGTTTATTTTTTATATTTTTTTTTACTTTTGTTCGGTTATGTTATGTGTATATACATACATACATGCATGTATGTATTTTAACATTATAGGACAACGTAAGATTTGTTTTTTCTCAAAACGCAACGGCATGTGCTGCTTTAACACATTTTTGCAAGATTTGGTCTTAACTTTTTTTTAATTATTTATAACTTTTTTTGTTTATTTTGGCTTTCAATTTTTTTTTGTATCTTTTCCATTATAAAATGCTTATTTTAGCTTAAAATAATCTTAATATTATAAAGACTTTTCGCTAACAACGGTATTTGATTTTCTTTAGCAAATTTTTTTCCTTAAATCTTTTTGCATGTGTATAATGTTTTTGTATTGAGATTTATTTTAATTTTACTGTCATTAAATATAACTTAAGAGATATACATTTATCATATTTATATGACTATGCGTAAACACATACTCACATATTTGCTTATGTTAAAATGTTTTATGTGCACACAGCAAAAAAGAATATGTTGTTTAACTTTAAGGTTTATTGTTTTTCAAAATTTGTATGCGCTTCCACATACAAATTAATTTAATATATTTAAATTATTAGATATTAATTTACATAAATATTCACAATATGTAGTTTATTTTTTATTTCTTGTCTTTTACCTAAGAGTCTGATTAATTTTTTTACTATTATGTACATACTACTTTTTTTGTCTAGTTAATTCTTTTGATTTTATTTCTGTTATATTTGGTGTTTTTTTTTTTGTTTTTTATTTATAATATGTGCATTTGCAGCCTTAAACCAGTTTGGAAGATTGCAGATTTCATTTCTTTTGTAAAATTTACAATAGGGGTTACTTACTTTGCGACTTTTAAAATAATTGTTTATTTTATAATTTTCATACTAAATGGTTCGAGTGATTTATGAAATAGCCTGTTTTTTTTTTGGTAGTAACTACATTTTTACTAAAACAGAATTTTGCATAACTACATTTTTTACATATATACGTTTTTAAACAATTTTAAAATATTGAAAATATTTATATAAATTAGTAACAGGCAAAGATAAAATATGTTTTAATTGAGAGATATGAACATGCTTAATATGTATAAAATTCGATGGCATCAGAATATCAAATACAAATTAAAGAGAAAATACAATTTAATACAATCAAGGAAAATAGAAAAGGGTTACGGATCTTTCTTGAGCAAATAACGAAAAAAATGTATGAAAATAAGAAAAGTTGGTAAAAATATGAGTCAACTTTTTCGGGATTTTTTTTTAAACATACTATAAAAAAATTAAAATTTTTTAAAAAAACATCTTACAATTGAAAAAGTCTAATATTTACAAATAGAACTTAAAAAATCAGAAAAATATAGAACATAAAAACTGATTGCATAATTGGCTGATAGAAATAAACTATAAAAAATTTTAAACAGTTAAATGGAACAATATTTGGTTAGAAAATGACAAAAGACACTTTCGAAACAAAAACGTTTGCACCTAAAGGAAAGTTTAGCGAAAAATCACGTGTAAACTTTTAACTAAATTTTATTGAAAAATACAATGGAAAATAGTCCGGTTATAGTCATTTTCGTAAAAGCGATTACTCTCGTAAACATCTCATTTTTCTTCAGTCTTCTACAAATTTGTAATAATCCTTTCATGCAAATATTCGCGCCTATTCGATTTGGCATTGGATTTGGTGACAGTCGAGACTCGTTTAGTGGGACCTCAGACACATAAATTCCGTGCATATGCACCAAATTAGTATCAGCACGTAATTTTGAATTTTGTAATCATTTCAGGTTGGTCCTTAAGGTGCAGTGGTAGAAGTTTTAAGTTTGTAGCGGCTATTTTGACGATATTTCCTCATCACACTCCTTTCTGCCCTAATTAGCTCCATGTAAACTGTTGTTAGTTTTTCCAAGTTTTCATTGTTGCTAACTAAGCTTTATCATATGGTCGTTGTTTAGTAAAATGTCTATTTTTAGAATTTAACTTTAAGATGGACTCGTCCTTAAATTGGGTTTTGAGTACTTGGGACCCTTAATTCAGGCGATGAATAGTCACAAAAAGGAACAAAAAGTTGCTGGTGCCTATCTATGAATGTTATTTAATGTTGTTGACGGTGTCGATTTTGAAGACTATTAAAGCAGAAAAAAAAATAAAAAATTGCGTCGATTTTGAATGGCGACGCAACCTCAGTTGGGTTTCCGATGGGCAACACCACTGAAATGAAAATATATATTATGAATAGCAACTATACCTAGCCCTTTTACGAGTGTCGACTAGTAGATAAACGACTCTTGGTCGATTATCGTCTATCCACTAATGCCGTTTTCTAGTTCAATAAATGAGTGTGAATAGTTTTTAGTCTGAGGTTCGGTTGCCATCCGTAATCGAGCCATTAAACACTCCCTAACTCGGCATCCCGGCAACCTTGATTTCTGTTACGTGTAACTTAGCCTTCCAACGACCCATTTCAAACTCATACCATTTATCGAGTTTCGACTGCACATTTCCATGTAAATGAAAATCAGTATGTATTTTGTATTAAACCTGATTATTTATTCACTTAATTTAAACAAATTAGTTGTATGTATGTTTGTATTTTTTAGCTTGTTCCTTATCAAAAAGGCAATGCAACCAATGCCATACCGAAGCAAGGCTTCAATCTCACTACAAAAATCTCATGCATGTTTTTTTCAGTTGAAGCAACTAAATTCTAATAAACTGCACATTAAAAGTACCGTAAACGTTATTTTCAATGATTTTTGTTGTTTTTATTTTCATAACACATTTGTATGTATATAGCTGCTAAAGTAAATAAAACAATACATTATTTAGGCAAATTTTATAAAATAATTTGCACATTTTCTTTTGCTAAGTTATAAATAGCTTTGTTCAAAGGAAAAACATATAACGTGCGCATTCATCATCATTAACGGCTTAACGTACATTTTTGCTTTTAATTTTCATAAAGTACACATGATTTACATTTATATTTTTTATCTAAATTTTTATTTATATTTCCTATTTTGCTGCATGGTTACTTAATTTGTTTCGTTTTTTTCAGTTATTGTTTTGATTTTCCCTTAGCATCATTAAATTCTGCTGATGTATGTATTTTGTTAAAACACTTTTACAATCAAATTGAAATAAAAAATATATATTTTAGTTTATATATAGTATGTATGTAGTTATATTGTATGCATTTATAATTAGCTCTATTTCGAGCGTCTTGCCATTTTACGCCTAGTGATTGCTATCGCCACCGATATTGCCATTTTGTTGCTGGCGCACGGAGCGCCTTCGCGTCATTATGCGCAACGCAACACCACCCGCATTTCCATCTATGGCCGCATCATCGATTGCCATGCCGCTGGGATGCTCCTCATTCGCCATGCCAACCACCGCATTATCAACGATACTTAGTGGATCGATCGCCGCCAGGCCGCCATTGCCACCGCTTAACATTGGAGCATTTGAAACAACCGCATTCACCACATTAACGGTGTCGAACTCGTTCATATCATTGGATTGCACGGAAGCACGCCGCAACTTGGACTTCTTCGGTGGCAGAGTGCGTGGCGCTGTTACATGTATTGGCGTAGCAGGCGCTGCAACCAAAGCAATAGGCTGATTTTCATTTGGATCGCCGAATTCAAAGTTACGTTTGCGCGAAGCCACCGTCCGCAGCATGCTGCCAGGAACTGTCGCAGCACTGAATGAATTTAAACTAGTATTAGCGTCAACTTCCGCTGGGATTGGGATTGGGACGTGCTGTTTTTGCTGCTGATCCTCATTACCGTTGTAGTATTCGTTAGTAGCTGCATAATTGCGCACACAAGCGTTTTCATCGATGGTCTCCAGCGGACGAGCAGCGACATATTTCAATTCGTTGGTAAGTGTATGCGTATTGTGCAGTGTAGTTAGGGCGTTAGTGGGGTTGGAATTGGCGTTGATGGTATTATTGCTTGTGGCAACGATGTTATAGGGTATGGCACAGGTTTCGGCAGCATTTATCGACAACTTGCTCGGGTCTACAGCGCCATTCAGGCCACTGTGCATTGAGGGATGATTGGCATCGCCGACATTAAGCGCATCTGTAACCTCGGATTTCACAATACTCTCACTGTCCATAATACCGGTTTTTAATTGGTAATTTTCCTTTTCCAATGTTTGTATGCGATCGCGGGTGGTCTTGAGTTCTTGCTGGAGGAATAGGATTGTGCTTTGCATGCCTTCAACATCTTCATCCAATTCAGGTAGAAAATCATCGACCTCTGCATATGGGAAGAAGAGAATAAGCCGTTAGCAAATCTCATTGTGAAGTAAAATTTGTATTTCTTCGATTATTTACCTGATTGTGACTTTTTTACTTCTTCGCAAAAGCTCTTTTGCATTGCCAATTCAGTCTCTAGTTTAGATAAACGACCATTGGAGGTCATTTTACCTAGCTCTTCATTTTCCTAATAAAGTGAGAAATGAAAATAAGGACGTGTTGCTAAATTTTCCAAAAACCAGGTTTTACCTGATACAACAAACGGCACTTGGCAATTAAGCGTTTGCCTGTATTCGAATCTGGCGTAAATTTCCAAGCTGACAATTCATTTTGCGTCTCTTCTAATTTAGCCTTGGTAGCCTTTAGTTCCTTCTTAAGCTTCTCAAAGAGTAAATTAACAGCTGGGTCGAGCAAAGCGGAACGCAGAGCCAATGATGTGGGCGCTTGTTGAGCTTTGTATTCCGCAATTTGACTCTGAAACGAGTTTGTGCTAAGCATTTTGGAATAATTTAAATACAATTTTTGCCAACTCACCACATAATCTTGAAATTCTTGCTCCTTGTTGGCCAGACGACGCATGAGTATTTTTTCGCGACGTTGTGCATCAACACATTGCTGCGATAGGCGCGCCTGCTCCAGTTTGAGACTCTCAATTTCATCTGTATTAGCGGCGAAAAGATGTTACAATTTATAACTTTTAATGTTTGTGAAGTATTTGTTTTAAAAGCATATTGGTGATAATTTTTTAAATACATATAAATTATATTTATACAAGTATGGGATGAAAATTTTAAAAGGATATGTAAATAATTGGTAGAAACATAATTCTAATATAAATAAATATATTCATGTGTACATAATAGTTACAAGTTACATATAAAATATTTATGTACATATTTTTTTTTTTTTTTGCTAAATGGAACTTAATACAAAATCATACCAATACTGTGTGCAACAAGGTACATTTGTTTGCGCATTGCCGCAGATTTCGTGATTTTGGAGTTGGCATTTTACTTTTGTGATTTTGTTGCTTCTTTCGTTCGTTGCGTTTCGTTACGTCGTGTATATAAATTTGTCTAGCAAAGACGGTCAGCTCAGTGTTGAAAAGTGTGAAAACAGATCATTCAGACCAGATCGAATTTTAACGTATGTTACGACGCAAATTAAACGCCAATATTTTTCGGCATTAGCAGTTTAGTAAAAACTTAGCTGCTGAATTATTTTTTGAAATACACAAATACACGCAACGAACTTTTTTAAGATTTATATTACGCGCACAAGTGCACTGCAATTATTTACAGTTTTCCCTGTATGCCAAGCCATTAATTTTGCATTTAATTATATAAACAGATATATAACAAATACTTTGGGTTGAAAGCGATTTTTTTCATTTCAAAATGCTAATGCACATACTTTCTTTGCACTCAAATTTATTTCATGCTTTCTTCTTTTATATTTCATTTGGAAGAATACAATTGCATCGACAACCCACACTCTTTTCTGACGCTTTTCAGACAACTTTGATATTTACACTTTTTAGGCTCTTTCATAAACAAGTGTTTGTAAAAATTATAAATTTTAAAATTGCAAATTTTGTTTTGGTATTAGTTGCATAGAAAACTGTTGAATTACTTTCTGAATTTTAGAAATATACTACATTCTATTGAATACAAGTGAAAATAAGTATATTTTTAAAACTTTCTACATTTTATTATAATTGCTTAATGCCAAGTAGCGTATACCAGTAATGGACAATTTTCTATACCAAAACTACCAAGAAACAATTTTTTGCTAATTTAAATATTTGCCATTTGCACAACATTTTTTATTATAAATTTTTGGGTTTCGCCTATCTTACGCGTTCACCACACACTTATGAGCCAAGCCCTTAAAACAGTTTTATTTCAATTTTTTATTTTATTATGTGCTTTATATTTAAAGTAGCACAAATTCTAAAAAAAAAAACACTATTTTTAAGTTCTTTTCTTTGCTGGCTATTCGCACAGGGCGGACATATATTATTTTATTATTTTATAACAGGCTCTTTTCATTTTTTCAAATCATTTTCATAATAGATTTTTGCGAAATAATCTCCGCATATATTGAATACAGGTGACGCGGCATATTGGAGAACAGTTGTACGAGAATTTGATTCAACAGGGTTGAATAACCAATAAGGTAATAGAGAAATGACCGTGGGTGTGGCAGGAGCATACAAACGGACGAAGAGCTGTATAGCAGCAAAACTCGGCACACACGGCGAAAAGGATGTCTACGACGACGATTCGTAGGAAAGGCGTTCACAACACAACCAATGACCGTTGTTATTTTTTTACATAATTTTTATTGTTATAAAATAGTGGATGGTTTACTATAAATACATTAATTTCTGAATTAAGATATGTATAGAAGAAAATTAAGTAAATTTTTTCCTTATAATGGCGCTGGTAATACACTTAGAAAAAATATATATATATGGATTTTTTACAGCAGGCATTTTTCTTTCTTTTATACACTTGCCATCTTTACATATTTCGTTCATGCTTTTGTGCATTCAACACAACAGTAGAGAAATAAATGCCACATTTTTTTCTTTTTCATGCACTTGCTTATTCGTAGTTCTTCTTTTCTTCTTGAGTTGCACAGTTTTTATATCACTAGGCTTTTCTTATATTTTTCTTTTTTACCTTTTCTTTTACACTCGATTCTCTTTCCAACGAGCTACAATAAACCTTTATTACAATGTCTCTGCATCTTATCTGGTTTTTAGTACACATCACTCTACTAAATTCATAAGTATTCGAAAGCAATGTTCTGAAAGAGTCAAAAAGAGTGTTCGCTGTACGATTCATCTGTTGAGTTTTTCATAAGCAATCATTACACACGCTCCACGTATTACACTTCGTACTTTCCGCACTTACCACAAGTTTAGCTGCACTAGTCCATAATTTATGGATTAGTGTCACAGCTAGCTAACTTGCATCGAGTATTGGTCTATAAAACTCGCTTAATGTACAAACGTCAGTACAGAAAAATGTTTACAATTTAAAAAAGAAATCAAAGTAAAAGAACATTGTTTGCTAGTAAAAATATGTAAAAATATTTTGCAAAATAAAACATTATTTTTTAACACACACCGAGCATTGTATCATACGTTCTTTACTTTGTTCATACTTGTCTGTTTGATTTTTATCAATCTATAAGTTTATTAAAGTTCTCATTCAATATATACCTTCGAGCAACCGCTGCCGATGTTCGGCAGCAGCAACAGCCTCTGCAACTGTGCCTGGCTGTTGCTGCTGCAATTGTTGTTGCTGCTGCTGCTGTATCTGATGATGCTGATTGTGGTGGTGCATAAGTTGCTGCTGTTGCTGAGTTGGCGGCGGCGATGGTGGCTGATGTTCAGACGCTGACATATGTGGCGCATGTTGATGCATAATATGTCGCGAGTGATGGTGATGATGATGATGGGAATGATGATGATGTGAATGATGGTATTGATGCTGCAACTCTTCGCTCCCGGATGGTGTTGGCGAGGCGGGTCCAGATGGTGGTGCACCGCCCACACCCAAACCGTTGCCACCAACTCCACTACCTACTCCGGTATTGCCGTGTAAATTTTGATCGTATTGTTTGGACAATTTATCGTAACTGTTCATCAAAGGTCTTTGATCGTCCATAGTCATTGCAGCGACACTCATTACAGTACAGAAGGCAATTACTATGCCACAAAACTATTTAAGTTTTTAATTTTTGTTTGATAGACGTTTGGCTTTAAAACAGCTGCTAGTAGCGTTTTTTACACCGCACCTCTGTAGTGATTGCTTTCAATAAACCAACACGCCACGCAGCACGTATGCCCAGCGCGTTTGTTTGGCTTTTTCCTGCCGTGCTACTTTTCTATGCTCATATAACTTTTTAATTGCCTATGGCTTCTTCTTCTTCCACTTTTGTGAAATATATATGCATGGAAACTTTCAAGTAGCGCTCCGCTGGCCACAATTTTCACAAGCAAATTTCACGCACTTTTCGACTTTTCCGCTACTTACTTTTGCCACTTATGTATTAAATGTTCATTGAACTCAATTTTTTTAATATTTTTGCTAGGAAAATTGCACTTTTTCCACATTAAATATTAATTTTTCAACGCAGCGAAATCCATTCGCGTCACAATTAACTCGCTGAAAATTCAATATGGTGGTCTTTCACCTTGTGCACATGAGACAGCTAGTTGGTTTATGCCTTTTGCATATGGGAGAGAAAGAGAAAAGCATGTGGTGTGCCCTGAAAATGGCGAACTCAGCAACACGGTTGTATTGGCACTTGTTAAAAAATTCATCTCATTATCATTACTAATTTAATGTAAACGATCTGTACAGGGTACAGAAGTATATATTATAGCAATATTTTGTAATATAAAAAATAATTTTACTTTATGTACACATAGTTTCTCACTCTCAGTCAACCTACATAAGTTCCACAAATTCCTCAACACGAAACCCCAACAAAGCATTTGCTTTAAAACACCTCCTACATATGTGGTAAACAATCAATTGCAGGGACGCAGGACAACAAACCAACAACTTGTTTACGAAAATTTCATTCGCAGGACAACAAACAAAAAACAATGAATGACAAAAAAGTGCAAATAAACAAACGAGGAAAGGGACGTGTAAGCCGGGAAGAGATACAGGCATGGAGCAAAGAGGAGCTTATAGCTAAGGTATTACAACTGGATGCATACAACTTTCAAATTAGGAATTTATTACAAAAGAAGCTGGGTCAAAGTGATGGCGAGTTCTACGAACAACTCGCCCAGTTGGAGTCCAATGAAAGGTCAACAGCGGTTAGAGCGCCGGAACCTGTGCTGCAGCCCAACAAAATACAACAAAAACGCCAATTCGACTTTAATAAGTAAGAAAATTTTATTCTAACGATTGTAATTGTATTTAAATAGAAAATAAACGTTTAACCGCAGGAGCTACAAACGACATGTTCTGATAAAATTCCTCTATTTCGGATGGGATTATCACGGTTTGGCAGTACAGGAAGACTCAAATGCTACAATAGGTAAGTCACTCAGAGACCGCTCGTTATACATAGTACATGCCGTTTAACTACATGCCTATCTTCAGAGCACCATCTATTCCAAGCGCTAATTCGCACCTGCCTTATTCAGTCACGCGAATCCGCAAATTACCATCGATGTGGCAGAACAGATAAAGAAGTGAGTGCATTTTGCCAAGTAATCTCCATAGATTTGCGTAGTAAATTTCCACCAGATGAGCAGTTGAAGACGGAATCATTAGCCAATGAAATTGATTACTGTTCTCTCTTGAATCGCGTATTGCCGCGCAGTATACAAGCGGTGGCATGGATGCCTTTGCGTAGCCCAGTGTATAGCGCACGGTTTGACTGTGTCGAGCGTACATATCGTTATTACTTTCCAATAGGTGATTTAAATATAGAAGCGATGCAGAAGGGATGTGAACTGTTAGCAAGGCATACAGACTTTCGAAATTTCTGCAAAATGGATGTTAATAATGGCGTGACAAATTACATAAGGCAAATATTTAAAGCTAGTGTACGGAGGTGTGAGGTAGAACAGAATAATAAGAATGCTGAAGACGGTGAATTATTAAAAATAGTATCTACATCAAAATGTTTCAGCTAATAACTTTTGTGCATTCCTATAGGTTATGCGATGTATATGTTAGAGATAAGAGCTAATGCTTTCCTCTGGCATCAAATACGCTGCATTATGGCGGTATTGCTGCTCATTGGAGAAGGCAAGGAGCAGCCCGAGGTTATAGATGAATTACTGGACGTACAGAAAAATCCATGGTAAGCTGCCAAGTGGCTTCACTATCAATAAAAAAAACCTATTTGACAAATTTTAAGTTTTATAAAAGCTAACAACTTTTTAAATACATGTACATACAAAGGAAACGATTTATGATCTCTCAAGTTAGTAAAAACTATCATATTTTCTAACTAACGGCTTTGAATATGCATTTACTTGTGTATCTGAGAGCCAACTAACGGAATATTAAAAAAAAAACTCGTTTTCGTGAGCATGTCTAATACGGGTTTTTGGATTGATGGTGACGGTATACAGGTGTTTATGTATGTTTGGCTAGATCTTTTATTTGAAACATGCATACTTTATTACAGTAAACCACAGTATACGCCTGCAATTGGCTTGCCCTTAAACCTTTTCCATTGCGAATATCGTAAGCATACAATACAGCCCGCTGATAATACATCACGTGATGTATGTGCAGAGGATGAGGCCGAGCACACTACTGCTTGGATATATGGTGATGAACATCTGCAAAAACTTATTGAAACTGTACAGGGCGAATGGACGCAGTACAACATTAAGTAAGCTTGTCTTTGAGCTATTTTATTTTATTAATCTGTTTATAAACTTTTTTATTCACTTTACAGAAGTACTATGATACGAGACGTACTGCACCAATTAGAGCAAATACGCCAAAAAGATCATAAGTGCGCAGAGCCAGTGAATGCTCAGGCTTGGTTACTGCAAGATGGTGTGCGTCCGCGTCAATATCAGCAGCTTTTGAACCGTAAACGTTGTGGTAAGTATTTGTTGTTCATTTAATATAAGTATACAAACTAAGCTTGATACATAGCTTTTAAACGAACAAAGAAAATATCTTCAATATTTTATATGACAGAGAGCTTGGAAAATCGTATTGAACATTTTATCAAAAAGCAACGTTTAATTGTCACCGATGAGCCTGCAGCGAAGTTAGACACAATTTCTGCAGCGGTTAACAAGTGATAATTTAAATTACGTTTAATACAAACAAATGTTGAAACAAAACGAAAGTTTAAAGAAGAGTTTTATTTAAAACAATAAAAACAGGTCCCCGCGCATTAGTTTTGAAGCATTAACTAAACCGCAAAAAACCTTCGCGTTTTAAGGAAATCAATAAATATCTTCTCTATAATTTTAAATCTATTAAAAAGCAGATTCAATAGTAAATAGATAACGTTAAATGAAAGTATTCTCATTTTTGCTTTTATAAACGCTCATCTCATGAAATGTTGATTACATACTCGTATGTACCAAATCGAACGCTTAAAAAAATTATGCCAATAAATAGCTCAGCTCTATATAAATCAAAATCAATGCTAAAAGAATTATCTTATCTTATATTATTTAAGGCATTTCCCGATTAGTTGATATTCTATACGGCACGCCATCTGTGCTGCAAAGAGATTACCGAACCACTAACATTTTATATGTAGTACTTACATATAAAAATTCCTATTTTAGAAATAAAATAAAAATCAGTAATTTGTAAGTGAAAGCTAATATTGAAGCTGTCCACTACTTACATATATCTGACACAGGCTGCTTAACAACCGAATAATTAACTGCGCTGTTGCTATCACAGCTTAAGCTGACGCATCACCACTAGCTCCAGCGCATTTGGCAGCTTTTTATTCAAACTCTACAATATACGCGCACAAATTCGGTTGCTGGCAATTTGAATTTCAGTTAAGTTTTTGCGCTGCAAATGCGCGGTCGGGTTTGTGCGAATTTCTCTTAAAACTTAAACACTTTGAGTCGGTGGAAATTAGTATTTTGCATTTATTAATACACAACAGCAAACGAGCTGTGAAATGTGTTTGAATTAATAATCAGGTGCATATTCAACACCGGCCATATTAAAACCAAATTTAAGAAAGTGTATATACTTAAAAAAAAGGAGCGCCTATTTAAAATTTGTTACGAAATTTATTAACCTTGTACAAGCTGTCGTAAAATGTCGCAGTATCGCAGTAAAATGTGTTGCTCTGGCAGCATATCCTTTTGTTCATCCATTTTTGTGTTCACTTTGCTGCTAATTTGGCTGCAGTGGCGCTGCATTACAGTCAATGCTTTTGAAGAGAATGATGCATTTTGCATACGCACCCAACCAATGTTGCTGGCGGATATTGAGAAGCATGTTAATCCTTTGGAAGGTGATCCCAATTGCAAAGTGCTGGCCACAACGTTGACCGTTAAAGAGAAGGTAAGTTAAGTGGATTTTATAAAATTTAATTCAAAAATATTTTCATGCGCGTTAAAAAATATACATATTTTCTAGGCATAGTGATATTTTCAAGCCCTAAGCTCAAAAATCTATTGTAATAAGGACATAGTAAATTTAAATTAAATAAGATTCACCGCCGCCGAATAAAATTTAGTGATGTTCCTGATCTCTATTCATCCATTTTTTTATAACATGTTGTTGTAGTGGTTCTGTTCTTGCCAAGAGAAATGTACATAAATGACTGCTTATAGACCTTTCTCGCGGGTTGTTGTTTTTATTTTATTGCGTACTTAGCCCTGCCTTGATTAGCTAATCTTTCAATCGTTGTCGTTAAGTTCAACTAATGGTCCAGGAAGCTGAGGCTTGGTTCGTTTTTATTCGTCGACTTCCGCGGACCCTTAAATCCCGGGTATTCGAATAGAATTTCGCTGTTATTGCAATATTATCAATTACCCATTCCCAAGGCATCGCGTCAGTTGCTCTCATCTTCGCCAGCCTACTGCGAGAGCCTCAGGCCAAGGAACCTTACGCGTTGAAGGAAGATACTGGAGGGGTTTTGGGGAGTGATGCTGGAGTTACAGTCCTTGGCCAGATATGAATCTGGGTCATTCCGGTTATGCAGACCCGACTCTCGTGGGAACGATGAAGTAGCCGTTGAAATGGTTGTTTCAGTCCGACATCTGTAAATTGAACCAGAGTGTACCTTGGTAACTCCATCTACACCGCACTATGTCCCGGTGGTGGGCGTCGTCCTTCCAGGCTAGTTGTTACATCCCCTCGGGGCTGGGTGGCAGTTCGTTACGAATCAGTTTTGTCGAGCCCAACCATGCTTCAATTACATGAGCGGGTAGGCCCCATTTAAATGAGATAGCCAATAAAACAATTACAGATGATTGGTGGTATATTTCACTTATAAAAAAGAGCCATTTTCATACAAAAATAGCTGGTGTTTCGACCACCCTAAGTCATGCATCTATGTAAGCTAGCTACTAAATTACCAAATAACGACTCTGCCATTCACTAATTAAGACATTAACTATTTACTACAAAAAATATATAAACAAAATAAATTAATTTTCAGTGTTTTAAAAATGTTAAGGTCACCAGACAAGTTTTCTTCTCCGTGACCCAACAATGCATGCTGTTGTTAACGAAAAACTACAGCAAATCACCTCACGCCAGCCAAAAATAGATTCTTCATTAACAAGAACAAACCATATTTGGTAGAAATACATGACATAGACGCACAAAATCGTGCATACATACATTTGTATGCACATGCATACTTTGAAATGTGCATTCAAAACAGTATGCATTTGCGGCAATGACACAATACAACAGACAAAAAAAATCGAAAAAAAACAATTCGAAAAATGCGATCATCGGCGCTTGTTCGTTGAAAAACTAGTTTCCTTAGCAATGAAAACGCCAAATAATATTAATTTACTAAACTTTTAAACTTCGAAATTGTGACGAATGTGTGTTACATGCATACATTTTTTATACATATGTACATTAGACTGCATCACTAAAAAAAGTTTCTGTTTTTCCGCCGGGACTACAAAATTTATTATATTTTAAGACGTCCACCTAAATATTTCGGAAAAATATTAAGATTTAAGTGAGCTGGACCGATTTGAAAATACCTCCAAAAATGTAGTTTTTTATGAATAAAAATAGTTTCTTAAAGAACTTTTTGCAAAAAGTCCCCTCAGATGACAGAACAGATTAAGCTTAAAAAATCTGCATAAAAATATTTAAAAATCTTTTAAACGGAATCGTAAGAATGAGATTTTTGATGCTGTTTTTTTTTACTTTTTTCAAAGATTGATTTACGAAAAACTTGAATAACTGGGCCAAAACTATTCTGATTTAGACTTATGGGATCTCAGTTGAAAGGTATTTTCACACTGTTTTTATTTCTGTCCAAAAAAAAGGTCATTCGTGTCCCAATATATATATTTTTTTTTTCAAATACCAACACATCTTAATTCAACTTTGAATGACGTTCCTTCATCCTACCTTTCTGGTTTATCTTTTGAATGAGTTTATTAGCACAGAAATAAAAACGTAGAGAAAATACCTTTATAATGACACCTCCTAAGTCTAAATCGGAAGAGTTTAGGTTCAGTTATTCAAGTTTTTGTTATACCAATCTTTAAAAAAATTTAGAAAACAGCATCAAAAATCTCATCATTACGATTCCGTTCAAAATTTGCTTTATTTTTTTTTTTAAATATTTTTCTGCAAATTTTTTAAGCTTAAGCCGTTTTGTCATTTGAGGGGATTTTTTCAAAAAAAAATCTTTAAGAAACTATTTTTATTCATAAAAAACTCCATTTTTGTAGGTATTTTCAAACCGGTCCAGCTCACTTAAATCTTAATATTTTTCCGAAATATTTTGGTGGACGTCTTAAAATATAATAGATTTTATAATTCCAATGGAAAAATAGTAGCGATTTTTTTTTGTAAGGGGAGTGATGCAGTCTAATGTACATATTGGTCATTGGGGCTTTTGGTAAAACCGCTTAAGTTATTTTGGGTGTTTCTGTTTTGATTGTAACATTTTCTAAAAAGTTATTGTTTTTTAATTATAACACTGCTCTAGTAAATAAGCGATAAACTTTTATTGAAATAGTCTCTTAAACCTTAAAAATTAAAATAACTTAACGTTTCCGTGGTTTGTAGAAAAAATTACCGAACTTTAGCTAAGGTGTTTTTTTAAATGTCCGCACATACATATCTAGGTACACATCGTACCCTAAATCACAACAGTCACAACTCGAAATTTTTCAAAATTGATTTTTTTGTATAAAAGAGTTAACGGATCCTATTTCTATCGTCCGCCGAAATTATTATCTTCTTTAACTGGAAAAACACTACTAAGGGCCGGTTGCTCAAAGCCTGGCTGGCACTAATCCCCGATTAAACATCGTTATCGACGTTACCGACACCGTGTTATATATATGGAGTCGAAAACGTCGATAACGATGTTAACTGGTGATTAGTGTCAACCAGGCTTTGAGCAACCGGCCCTAAGACTGTTTTTGTTCTGCTTGCGTCGCGTGCATCGACTCCACACTGTTTTTTCGTTTGCAGAACATTTGAGGTTTTTTTTCAGTTGTGACTGTTTTTGATTTAGGGTACGATATTTGCATATTCTTAAAAAGGCTTATAAAAATATAAAATTACTCGTAATTATAAGTACTTCATGCTTTATTTTGTAGGCTAATTCAAAACTATTTATTTTCTTAAAGCAGTGTAACCGGCATTTTTATAAGAAAAAAATATACTGATTAAATGTGCATATGTACATACGTAAGTGTGCACATATTTTGCTATGCTTTATCTACTCAATTAATTGACGCCATTTATTATGATTTCACCTGATTTTTATGAATAGATATGTATGTACCAGCGGATTTAAATACCTTTAAAGGCTTCTTTATAATCACTAAATGGTATTGATAAGAAAATTGTTTGTGTTTTTCTAATTCTTTTTGTCCGTCTTGTTTTTATAATTGCGTGGAGTATGCCGTCTTGACCATTTTGATCAATATCTCTGTGTGGTTGTACATATGTATACCCATTAATAAAAAGTTAGCACAAAGTGAAAGAAAATTTGTGGTTATGGCATTTGTTTAAAATTTTTAGAAAAAAAGCAGGGACCATGATAAAAACATTAGAAGGTAAAATCATTCTCTCAATTCGTCGGCCATGATTTTTTTCTGACGTTTGCAAACATTTTAAAATCATATAAAATTGAAAATAAAAAAATGAAATTGTTCACAATTGTTAATTTTAAAATTTTATTGCTGGCAAACGTTATATTAGATTAGAGCTCAATTATTTTACCTTGTAAAGTTTTTTTTTTTATCATGGCAGGGACTGTAACGGTGATCTTTATAATAAAATTCATAATTAAACCATTAAATTTGGATAAATATGTTTACGATCAAATTTAACCGTTATTTTATGATTTATATTTTTTTCATATTTTGTTTTTGTTGTTGGCCTTTAAATTTTAAATTATGAATCATTTTTAACCAGCTCGAGGCCCAGCAATTAAATAAAACGCAAAACTTCGTTCTATTGATATTTAAATTGTCGATGTTTCGACCTCAATCTGAGGTCATCTTCAGGAAATCTTGATTGTGCCTGGTCAACAAATTTTGTATCGTTATTTTTTCGATCATCACCGTTATTTTCATATTAATTTTTTAGGTCATTAAATATTAAAAACGGCCATAAAAATGTAGTCTTCATTATAATGGCTAAAAATGGTCGAAAAAATAACAATCCAAATAATGGTTATTTTTGTCAGATAAAATCCAAATTTAACGATTAGTGGGGATCGAAAAAATAAAAATAAAAAATAACGATTAATTTATCTATTACTAGCAAATCGGAACATATTCTTACGATTTTTTTCGCATAAATGGGTCCCTGGGCCACCATTGTATGTACCAGCAACAAAGTAAATACATACATATCTCAACCCTTGCGCTTATTGTATAACAATCAGCGTCAAGAATATGCATACCATGGAGTTTTGACGATTTTAGTTATTTATATTTTCCACACCAAATTTTTCTTATTTTTTTTTTATAAAAAATATGGTCATTGCACTGCAAAACCGCAAGAATCAATTTTTTTCTAATTTCATATCGAGGGCTTATATTCAATACCCTCTATCTGCAAAAACTCAATTTTTCAGGAGAGCAAAAAAACTGTTTTGGCAGCTGTTTTTAAAAGTGTTAATAATTTTAAGTACACACGCATTTCTTAAATATTCACGCAATATACTAAAACTAGTTTTTTACTTTTAATTCATTTTATTTTAGTTTAAAGATCAGATAGAGGTTATTGCAATTCGAATTATAACTATTTATATAGAAAAATTTGCTGATAGAGGGTTTTGCAGAATAATGAAAATGTCAGTTCTTTAGACGTAAATACTATGTTATACTAAGATTTTAATGCAGAAATCATAGGTGTGAAAATTCGTTCCCTTCTATTCCGATGTGCCCAGGTAACCAGATAATTTTAAATGTGTTTTTGTGTCAAAAGAGTATTTCACGTGATTTCGAAATTATATGAGAATCATTAGCACTGTTAAAAGAGGCTTCGCTGCCTGGTTTACTGTCCGTTCAGATGATGAAATTTCCGTCGTTTATAGAGGCGAAACGTACAGCTGATTCGGCTGTAAATGCCGAGCAGTACGTGGGAAAAGCACTGAAGACAATTGTAACACCCAGCCCTTTTGTTACCACCAGGTAATTTATGAGTATCAAACTGGGCAAATGCCCTTGCGGTAGAGTTTTTACTTTAGTAAGCATCGGATGATGTCGAAATCTTTGATGTAGCTTAATATACGAAATAAAGGTGATTGCTTGCTACATCAGTTTTTTTGTTGAAAGCAGGATTCGACGTGAGAGATAGCTTTTATTGGCGAGGTGGGAAATGCACGGATGCTTTTTCTCCTCTGCTACATAGTAAGGTGTTTCTAGCAATTTAAGATGTTTTTTTGCGCAGTGTCCATAAATTACGAGCCCAAAGTCAACTTTTACATAATGACAGTTCTGCTTAAAAGTAGGTTTATTGTAAAAAATCATTCCAAATATTTTCAATGTATCAGTATAGGGGAGGGGTGTTAGACAAGGAGAGGGTTGGATGTATGTATTTATTTGTATTTTCTGCATATGTGAAAAAATTACTTTTTCAGCTTAAATCTGAGCTCCTGAAGATTTGGACCAATTGATTAGATCGTTTAGTATGTTAGAAAAATAATTTTTACTTGCGTCAAGTCCTTAGTCTTAGAAAAAATTAAAATATCATTAGCGTATTTAGTTTGGCAATAGGAATAATAATAGCAGTTTCCCACTCTTGATGATATAACCCTTGAAATAAAATGTAGTTATGGAGTTTAATGACTCTATGTTTGATGGGATACGGATGATTTTTTAGAACGGGGTACGGAATTTTGTCTGCACCAGGGCTTTTGCCTGTCATCGAAGAGATGGTTGGTCAAACTCTTAAATAGATATGAGTAAGAGGGAATTGTGGGAATCTTCGGACCAAGTGGAGGCAAATAAACATATACACATCGCTCATTTACTTTAGTAGTGTCATAATCCAAAAAATACAAATTTTGAGTTGAGTATGCAGAAATTATCGCTGCGTCTTCTTCTATTTCGTGTAAAAATATCATAGCTGTATCGATTAAGCCCTGTATGCAGCTCTCAAGAAAACGGTAAAGAAAAAATTGCCATTATTTCGCATGTGTGTCCAAGGAATTTTGACATTTTTTGATACTTCACAGCCTGTTGCCTCACTCTTTCCTCAAGAAATAATGGAACGGACATATATATCTGTTGCAAAACTGGGTTTCCTTATGCTCTTTCTTCACAAAAAACTTTAGAAAACCGTAGTAGAAAGCGTAGTAAATTTCTTAAGAACTGCGTACTGCCTTAAGGAAATTTGACTCAAGAAAATTTCTTAGCCATTCCTTGTACGTCATTTTATATGGAGTTTTTGCTTTTCTTGAGAGCTGCATACAGGCCTTTACCAGAATCTCACTAGAATAAAATATGTATTCATTTTTAGTATCGGCGTATATGTAAATTCAAAACTTTAAAGCCGTCTTTCTCGAGTTTTGATTTTTTGAGTTATGACATTATTGTAGTAAATGAGCGGACATGTATATACCTGTAAGCTACCGGCCAAACCCGATCTTAGAATAAACTATTTTTGTAACTCTCATCATCAGTCCAACTGAAGCTACGCAGTCCACAAGATTTGGTTTCGGTTGGACATCGCATTAGGTAGAACAAGTTTAGCCTGGGCAAAACTAGTTTGACCTAAGATCGGATTTTACCGGAACATATACATACATGCATCGGCACATGTAACTTACCCAGTCTTTATTTGACCTGCCACAAAAAAATGGTAATGAAAACGATTTTCCAGCAAAATTGTGTAGATAGAGGATTTTTCTTTTGTAACAAAATGTTATTGCAGATAGTGGATTTTTCAAAATGAGAATATAATACCATAAAAGCAAAATTTTAAGTTTGGCATTATTGTCATGGCTGAAGGATAAATAAGAGCTCACGTTACCATCCAAAACTCATTTTCATCAAAATTGTAGATAGAGGGTATTGAATATAAGCCCTCGATATATAACTGGGGAAATGCAAGAAGTCAATACAAAGAAAATTTTCATCGAAATTTAAAATTTCTCAATTTGATTTATTTTCCCCAGTTTCACCATTAGTATTATGAAGTGCAAGTTTCAAGTCTTTAAAAATTACCGTTGATTGTTGAGAATTTTTTGTCGAGGAAAAAAACCTCGGAGCACTCTGTAGATATATTATTTTATTAGATGTCTACTAGATTAGATAGCTATATACATACATATAGATAGATAGATTAATAGTTGTAACTCTACGACCGGTAGGTCTATTGTGCCGTACATATATATCAAGGTAAATATCAATTCGAGCGTCGCCTAATGAATTCATTATATGAACGTAAAATTATCGTTTTTGAAAATATATTTAAGATAGATTTATGCAGCAAAGCTACATCTCCAGGTGTTTACTCCTATGGGAAAATATCAAAGCATATTTCATGTGAAAGTCTATGCCATCAGTTTGTGTGCGGATAGCCGCGTGGCGCTCAATACTCTTTTATCTTATGAAATAAAAAAATAAAAATAAAACATATTGCCTTTTCTTCTTTAACGTCTTTTTGGAAAATTTTCGACCACAGCTCGTAACATCCTTGTATTCTTCAAAAAGCATGTTCTTTATTAGTTCTACTAGAAAATTTCAAATCAATGGAAGAATAAACGATTTGTTTCCAATTTTGCTCTTTAGGGATCTTGATTTTTTTCGGTACGAAATCCGTCCTCATAGTATCGTTCAGTGTTCGATCTGCGTTCAGCAGTCCTGAACTTTTATATTATTTATAATTCTTTATTTATTTTTGCATATTATTTTTATTATTTGCAAATATATAATCTATGTATACTACTACATATATGCTTTTTCTTCATAGGACAGCTTCCTAGACACCATGTGTAAGGATCACGGTACATCGTATAAGGATACATATTACTTCTTCAAATTGCGCAATGGTGAACTTAGAGGGCGAGGTACACACAAAGAAATTTGCGATGGCATCAAAAATCCTTTGCTTGCCTGGGTGCCATATAATATGGTTTTGGAGAATTTTGCACAGGAATTGAATCCAAAGGACGTAAGAAAAGAAAAAAAAACATTTATTTATTTATTCTATTTTTTTGTTTTATAAATAAGATTTGAAAAATAGCTGGTTAATACTATTAAGTTGTCGAATAAAAAATGCAACCAATTAGTATTTCTTTATGACCAAAAACAATAAAAAAATAGTAATCATCACAATAAAAGCTTGAAAGGCCATTGAAAGAGACATCTCCTTAAAAAAAACAATAAATTTTGTAAATATTAAAACGGCGGGTAAAATGTTGATTTGATATGTAACCGAGTGCAAATTATGAAATTTAAAAATTAAAAAAAAATATGTGTTTAGGTCTTAAGTCATATTGATGACTAAGCATGTGCATACATTTTTTAAGATAATTACTTAACGTCAAAAAAGTACGACCACTCTTCATGTAGGAAGCACTAAAAAATTTAGGCTTGAGTGGCAATAAAAGCGCACATGTCTTTTTTATTGAGAAAAGTAAATATTTGAAGTCTTTATTTGTAAATAAATTAACACATACATATATGTACATATATATGCATAGTTATGTGCAAAAATATTTTATTATAATTTGTCATGTAAATTAAATTTGATCATCATAATTGAGTTAGCCGTAGGCTTGGCGTCTTTCCGAGCGTTTAGTGTGCTTATTTTATTTATTAAGTGACAAATTTTACAAGTTGATAATCACAGACCGATTTGATCTTACATATGCATATATGTATATGTAGATATTATGTATGTACATACATATGTGCATTAGACTCCATCACCAAGAAAAGTTGCGGTTTTCCGACGGGATTACAAAACTTATTATATTTGAAAAAATAACAAGTAATTTTTAGCAAAAAAAAACCGACTTCAACTCTATATAAAAAAAAAATATATATATATCTCATGATCCGCTGATCGGAACCAGATTAGTATGGGACCACCTCTGAGACACTACCTTTCCTATGCAAAAAGAATTATCGAAATCGGTTGACGTGGTCCAAAGTTATGCGGTAACAAATAAAAAAAAAAAAAAAAAATTAAAAAAATTTTCCGAAAAATTGAAACCCTCCTCCTTTTTTGGAAGTCGGTTAAAAATAAAAATATTTCGGAAAAATATTAAGATTTACGTGAGCTGGACCGATTTGAAAATGCCTCCAAAAATGGAGTTGTTTATGAATAAAAAGTTTCTTAAAGAACTAAGCTGAAAAAATCTGCATACAAATATTTAAAATTCTTTCCAACGGAATCGTTATAGTGAGATTTTCGATGTTCAATCGAAAGGTATTTTCCGCTCTTTTTATTTCTGTGCATTTTTTTTTTTTTTAATACCAACAAATCTTAATTCAACTTTGAATGACGTTCGTTCATCCTACCTTTCTCTTTCATCCTTTGAATGAGTTTATTAGCAAAGGAATAAGTGTGAGAAAAAAACTTTCCAATGATACCTCACAAGTCTAAATCGGAATAGTTTAGGCTCAGTTATTCAAGTTTTTCTTATACCAATCTTTGAAAAAAGTTACAAAACAGCATTACAAATCTCATTATTACGATTACGTTGATCTTTTTTTTATATTTTTATGCAAATTTTTTAAGCTTAAACCGTTTTGTCATTTGAGGGGATTTTTTCAAAAAAAATCTTTAAGAAACTATTTTTTTCATAAAAAACTCCATTTTTGGAGGTATTTTCAAATCGGTCCGGCTCATGTAAATCTTAATATTTTTCCGAAATATTTTGGTGGAAGTCTTAGAATATAATAGATTTTATAATTCCAATGGAAACACAATGCCGATTTTTTTATGTATGGGGAGTGGTGCAGTCTAATGTACATACCGTCTTCAAAAAAAGTGTGCAAACTCTAAATTTGCCACTTTTGGGATTATGCACAGATTATATCTTGCATTTTATTAAAACAACAAACAAATTTACGTATATGGGATTAGGCTATTTTCTCTTTAAATTAATATTTCATTGCATTCCCAAACAATATTTTAACGACTAACTAGCCAAAGGTATAGAATAGGACGCCCTTTTAATAGAAGCTTAGTAAAAATATCAAATTTTTGAAGGTAAACTTTTTCAAACTAAAGACTAACCACCATATGTACATTAGGGTGTCTCACCAAAAAAATGCATTATTTTCACCGGAATTATAAAATCTATTATATTTTAAGACTTCTGTCTAAATTTTTTGGAAACATAAGATTTACGTGAGCTGCACCGGTTTGAAAATACCTCCAAAAATCTCATTATTCTGATTCTGTTTATAAAATTTGTAAATATTTTTAATCAGACTTTCTAAACTTAAACTCTTCTATCATCTGAGGTGAGTTTTTGGAAAAAATATTTTTAAAACTAATTTTATTTATAAAACACTCAATTTATGTAGGTATTTTTAAATAGGTTCAGCTCACATAAATCTCAATACTTTTCTAAAATATTTTGGCGGAAGTTATAAAAAATAAAAGATTTTATAGTGTCGATGGACAGTAGCTACTTTTTTTTTGCATATAGAGTGATGCATCCTAATGTATGTACAAAACTATATAGTTTCCAGCAAAAGCTGAAGAATTTTTTGTTGGAATTTCTTGGAAAAATTCACAGCAAAGTCTCTTCTCCATATGATTGACATGAGCTAAGTACTCCACGCTAATTGCTGCATATCTTAATATATCTGCCTTCTGAACCACTTAATTTTTTACAGTGTGGCCACGTCTTCCTTAATAGTTCTAGAAAGTTGTAATGTATTTTTCTTTGAATATTTGTGAAAATGCCTCCCATTTCCAGTGCCGCAGATTTTAGGCCTACTATTTATATAATCGCTGATTCTAATCGAAAATCCAACGGCCCAACACCCAGACAAGAGATATGTCGTGATCACCCCAACAGACCCCCTGCTCGCAGAGGAGCTTCCCCAGGCACGTCAGAGGGCGCCTACTCGAGTTCATGGACGCGGTCCAGACATATATTGACCAACCACTGGACCCGACAACGAACAGACTAGTGATCAACGGTATTCATAGAGAGTCGACCTATGAATACCATAATCGGAGCCTAATCAACACCTGTAACATACACAGAGCTTCAACTGCCAAGAGATGCACGCGTTACTCTGGCCCAGCTACGGTCTGGTTATTGCAGCCGCCTCAACAGCTACTTATCCAGACCAGACGCCAATATCCACAATGAGTGTCCGGGATGTGGAGACTGCCCACATGCTACCGACCACTTCTTCACGTGTCTGCTCAATCCCACTCAACTAACACCCTTCTCCCTTTGGTCGACCCCGTCGAAACTGCTCGTTTCTTCTGCCTACCGTTAGTGGAGCTTGACGACATTGATTTATGGACCACCCGAAATAGGCTTAGGGGCTTAGATGACCACTAACTAATACACTGAGCATAATTCGATATGAATATCTTCACTAACTTATGTAGGTCTATTACTAGTAGCGACAGCTGACTATGAGAATCACATGAGGACAGTACCCCTGGTGCTACAGCCCGACCCTGGGTTAACCCTCATTGCTCAAAAATGCAGAAAGGTCAATGCATTGATTAGCCTGCTCCAGTTTTGAGACTAAACTAATACTGGAACGACTTTATTATTTACTCTTCTATTAATATCGCTCGGTACAAAAATGTCTCGTAAACCCAGATGTGACCTCTAGTCCAATCTAAATCGGGACATATACAATCCAATCGATGACCGTCTATTGCACATCGCTGTTTACTTTAAGTTCCTTCTTGAAAATAACATTTTATTGCGGCAAAGATGAAAAGGTAGCCAAGTAACCATCTCGCAAGTTTTAAAAATAAGCGCCGAACTCAAGATATAAAATAATTAGGTATTGTAGAACACAAAGAGGTTTCTTTTGTATATTTTATCTTGGAATCCATGAATCCCAAGGCTCAAAAACATTTGTATTAATACGATATGCAACCATTGGCCGTTTCGGGTACTGCCTTATGCGAGCGTTTGAACAGATTGAAACACAGTTGACATACTTTTGTGACAACTAAAGCTAGTATAAAAGTTCTTTACTAATTAAGGGAAATTATTTTTTATGGTATTTTTAAGCTACCTTTAAACTAAACCCACAATCGTTTTGAAGACACTTCTTTACAAAAATGTATCTCATCCTTCCAGCAACTGAGCTATATTGGCAAAGCCACGGATTTGGAACGCGAAAAAACAGAACTCTGTCACTTCAGCCACACCGATCTTGTTACGAACATTACATCAGATCTTTTTGCCTGCATTGTCATGATTTTCGAGGATAACTTTGTAAGTCTGAGATGATAAAAAAAATAACTCATTCTACGTTTGTATGAAACTCTCAAACACTCTTTCCTAACTCCAGTACGGTCTAGATGCCAGCATCAATGTGCTAATCGAAATACAGCCACTCATGTACGAGCTGCGCAACGTCACCTACTTGCCTTGGGTGAATGTGTCCACCAGCTACAAAACCTTGCTCGACCGCACAACGCTCCACAATCCAAGTCGTGAGCCAAAACAAATCTATGGCAGCATAAAATATGAGTTTGTCGAGAAAGTGCATCTAAACGTGAGCACTGTCTATAGCCACAATTTGGATCAGTTGCCGCTATTATTTGAGCATGCGGGTGCAGTGCTGGAATTGAATGACGTGGGAGTCGGTGGTGTGGATGTATCGACGGTAAGGCATACAACTTTACAAATTAACTTGCCTTTTATTTTTAATAAGAATTTTTCTATCTCATAATAGAGGGCCTTTTTCGGCCGTTTTATGGACGCACGCACGTCAGTCAATGTGGAAGTGATCGGCCAGTGGGCTGAGCATCGTCAACAATTCAACGCTGACGTTTTCGAATATTTCGGTTATGCCATAAAACGCTTTCGCAATGAAATCCATCATGGTGAGGTTACATTTACGCGCATCGAAAGCGCCGAGCCAGTATATGAAACACTCGATTCCACACACCTTGCGGCGGTCACGACTTACAAAACGGGCGCTAAGAAATTCGAACGCCTGGAAATGGCTGAGGGGGAGAACGGTACGCATGCGCCAGATTGGGATGACGAAGAGCTTTTCGAATCAACTGAGGGTGATGGTCATCCATATCCAGGTTTCTATCCATGGTTCGTGGCTAGCAGCCTTGTGTTGGCGGTGGTGCTACTCGTGGTGGTGATTGGTGTAGTGCGCGCTTGGAGCAAGAATGAGGAGAAGAAACGCTACAAGTTGGCAGCCACCTCTGCATAAGCGGTGAGGAGTATAGAGTGGAGGAAAGTTTTGCAGCTCAAAGGCAGGAATTGCGTGGAGCGCAGTAATAATAGATAAGTATTATCGAGGATATTTTATAAAAAAAGGTTCTAAATTGTTAAGCATATTATTTTATCTTTTTGGTTAATAACACAGAATATTGTTTTTGTTAAAACATTAAATATAAAAACAAATCCTAAAAAAAATGCTGCTAAGTAGCAAAAGGATTTTCACCTGCCGGTCAAAATTTCTAATATATCGGCATGAATAACGTGAATAAATAACACTACCCAACAAAATTCTGTTGAGTAAAATATTGTAGCCGATTCTTATAAGATTTTTCTAGTATAATTCGGATCTGACCATAAAGTTATTGGATTGGTTCTAGTTTTCGAGCAATTTAGGTTTAAAGGTGCCGAAAAACGCATTTTTGTACATTTCGTCTGTGTGGGAGGATATGAAAGCCTAAACACTGCCTTTTAATGCTAAAAATCAAAAAAGGACGGTTCGAACATTATTTTTTGCGAGATGGAGAGCGTTTCTGAGGGTATTTTAAATAATCTAAGCTATTACATTTAAATTTTAGACACGAGTAAATATATCTAAGAATTGTAAAAGCTGTCTAAAAAAAATCGCGGGAGATCGGGCTATTCGGCACTTTGAAGATAATAGCAAAAACGACGTACTTCAAGAATTCAAAAAGAAAGCAACCAGATTCGTCCAATTTCTGTTGTAATTCGCGATTGAATAGCTTGATAAAATAATAGCAATGCTCATTGTGTTGTGTGGAAAGCTTACACAGGGCAATACTGATTTTTTCCCTTGAATTTGCATATTCGTTGCATTTTGAATTCACAACAATAAAATGTACACGGCAGCGAGCATAAAATTTGCAAATGCAAATTCAAGACCATTTCCACAACATTCTGAACAGCCCTTTATTTTAAATCTTGTTGGCCTGTGTAATAATTTAGTTCCAAAAATTGTAAACTGGAGAGCTCTTCATATATATCGGTACCTTTATTCAGTCCACATACATAATTATCCCTATTGCGAGTGTCGACTAGTAGTAGATAAACGACTATTATTCGATTATCGCTTTTCCGTGGTATTGTGAATGTCGATTTTCCGTTCAATAAGCGAATAAAAACAATTTACACTCAGTTATTGAAAGAAAAAACGACATGGATAATCAATAATCGAATAATAGTCGCTTAACTACTACTAGTCGACACTCGCAATAGGGGTGAATATGTTTACATATTTTGTTATTCTTAAAAATTTAATATATATAAATCTATCGATAAATAAATTGATAACAATATCGATGTGTATTTATTGATAGTAATATCAACAGACACATAGTTATATATGGACGTGCACATATACATTTATCGATAACACTGTGAGACAAATGGTAGGGGTCAGTGATCGGGAAGGGTTCAAACTACCGGGGAAAGTTATATCGGTAAAAAAATAAGTTATACGTGTCCCGGCGTTTCGCTGGGTCACGTCTAGGAATCGAGATATATCGATTTAAAGTTAGTAACTATCATATAGGGGAAATTGTCACCTTTGGTGGTCTTTTTTTGACATAACTCGAGAACCACTAGTCCGATTTTGCTCAAGCAAATTTTAAAAAATTAAAAATTACAATTCCTTTAATCTGTTCATATAACGTTTTTCTATATAATCAAGTCGTATTACTTTCACGCAAAGTCACAAAAAAAAAATGAGACATAGATCATGAAAATTCATTGAAACATAAAATCAATATTCTTGTCAAAATGAGATACCTTCAGTTAATTGTGAATAAAAGCGAAACGCGTCCATCGATTTTCATGATCTATGTCTCATTTTGCTTAAAGGTTATGTGACTTTGCGTGAAAGTAATACGACTTGCCTTTTTTTCCGTTTTGGATTTTTTATGAATTTAAAAAATAAAAAAATTTAATATTTTAAGCAAAAAATATTTTTTTTCTTTATACATTTATTTTTACCGGCAAAACTGTTGATTATATAGAAAAACGTTATATGAACAGATTAAAGGAATTGTAATTTTTAATTTTTTTTTAATTTGTTTGAGCAAAATCGGACTAGTGGTTCTCGAGTTATGTAAAAAAAAAAGACAACCAAAGGTGACAATTTCCCCTATATGATAGTTACTAACTTCAAATCGATATATCTCGATTCCTAGACGTGACCCAGCGAAACGCCGGGCCACGTATAACTTGTTTTTGACCGATATAACATTTCCCGTTGGTTTCATCCCATCCCGATTTTGACTGTGGCATAGTGTAATTATTAAAACCTATACAGTCAGCAAAAAATATATTAAAAATCAAAGGGGGTTTTTCAGCCGCTTAAAACTGGCACTTAATTGTACTAAAATTTAACAGGCAAGCTGCATACCCAAAAATTTGCTAAAAGTTCAGATTAGAAAATTCAAAATTTTGATGAAATTTTTTTGAATTTTTCTAAGCCATGTATGTATAATTGAAAGTTTGGTTTTTATGGTTTGGTCAAAGCATGAACCATGTTTTTATAAAAAAAAAAAAATAATAATAATTAGAATCCTTGCAAATATTTAACAAACATCACCAATGGACTCAGTTTTGCACTATAGTGTATATTACTTTTATCGATATTTTTTGGATAAACATAATTATTTCTGCTTTTGATGCCTATCTCCATAATCGCTACTATCAACGATATAAGCATACATGTCTTTATCGTAAAATGACGGAATATTTAGTTGCAAACAACGCTGACATGTGAAATTCTGGAAACTGCTTCGATAATTACATTTTGGCATTATCACTTTGGTTCCACTGTAAAAATTGTTTTCACGTTCTCTTACGTCTGGTAACGCCACTTACCACCCAAAACAAAAGCAACAAAATTGAAGAAAAATCCTTTGCCTATTTAAATACTATCTCACTCACACACATCTCGCATACATCCCCGTTTGTCAACGGCAGGTCCTGTTGCTCAACTTACAACAAAACTTTGCGCACACATTCTCTTTCGCACGACGACATGAAAGGAAAATATTCTGAAATTCCGCTACTATCGTTGTTGCTGCAAATCTAACTAGAATCACACGCCAGCCATCACACGCGACACATTCTAATTTACCCCCTTTTGCAACACCAGTTTGTCTATTGAAGCACCATTCTGCACTACTCTTCGCATATAGAAATTCAGTTTCGTATCGGATTCCTTCAGCTTTCGGTGTGTCGTTGAAGTTCTCTCTCGGTTCGCTTGCGAAAAAACATTAAACTCAAGTTTTGCTTAATTCACGTATGTGACAAAAAGTTACTTTTCTCCAATTCATAAGCAAGAAGTGTTTAACATCAAACTGCTGAGCTGCTATCGCGAAATATTGATACCACAAAATAGTTGACAATAGAAATTGGTGTTTGGCATTGAAAGAAAGAAGGCAGTGGATTTTGTTGGCTAGTTGGGGGAAAAGGTATCGCTCGGTTTTAATTGTGGGGCGATAGCACGACAGGGTTGTGTGTGACAAGTTCATTTGAGCGTCAGTGCAGAAAATCAATTTGTATAAAATTGGAAGTGTTTCCCGCCGCGCGTGTGAGTGAAGGAAAAAGCTGCGAAATAAAATACATGAAAAGAGTGGACAATAACAACAACAGCATTGCAGCGGTTGTTTTTTGTATTTGTCCATTGCAAAGTCTCCGTCTTGCACAGAGTTGCACCCAAATATGGATTGCCGACTGTGAAGTGGTTTCATGATTCTTGGTGTTGCCATCTTCAATAAAGGTGAGTGATTGTTTTTTCTTTAAACATTTCTCTTGGCATAATATTGTTACGATTATCCTTGAACACTTCTTTCATTTCCCAAAATCCTTTGAGTTCGTATCGCTGGATTGTTAAAATAACGCTCAAGATGACCAATTTATACAGTACAATAAACTTTCTTGCACAACAAACATTTTACAATCTCCTGTAAAGGGGAGAAATATATAATGTACCAAGCGCCATATAAAAAGAAATTGCGTTTCCAGCTAGAAAGAGCAAAGACCAAGGAATCCATGACAGAAAGAAGTTCTGCGCAAAAATCCTAAGATATCTCCTCGACCCCATCCTATGCACAATTCCTAGCGCGGCCGAAGGCCCCCAATGCGGAACGGTGTTCTGCGCAAAAATACTGTGGTCCGCGTAGTCTGAGTTGGACAGATGAGGGTAATATTTGGTCCGCGTAAAAAAATCCTATTTATTTCACTTTAAATATTTATGGCTTTTGTAAGCAAAATCAACAATTTTTTTAGCTATTTTCAAGAAGCTTGCTTGAGGAGTCCTGGAGTTGTTCCCACAACAGTCTGGTCTACGTAACCGGAACGACCCAGATTTATATCTGCTGGACAGGACTGTCACTCCAGCAACATTCCCCAAAAACTTTGGGGAACTGTATGCTGTTAGAACAACAACAGGAGGCGTGGAGTGGGAGGCTAAAGAAAATCATGTCATTGAATTCCTTAGTTTTGTTCCTTAAGCTAGAAAGTTCAGCAGCGCCTTCCTTTTATATACCAACTTCGAACTAACGGTTACTATTCGGAACATATCCCGCGATGACATCTCTTAACTAAAAGTAAACAAAACCGAATAAGAGGGTAAAAACTGTAAATTTCTTAATATTCAATTTTTGGATAGGAAACATGGTTTAGTTTTAAAAATATATGATTTGTATAAAGAATTTATAACAAAAAAATCAAAGCGAAAACCACGTGTTGTCGAAAGCCAATTCAAGGCATGAAATTAAATGGGTTCAACCAAGGCAGACGATAGTTTTAAACTTTTAGAACTTCGGTTTTCTCTTACTGAACAGCGAGAGAGTTGTTGTCCACGCGTTGAGTTACGGTTCTTTGAAGAAGGCTTTACTAGCCGAGGCAAGAAATTTACATAATGCTATCGCAGCGGCAGTGGAAGTAGAAGGACAGGCTACCGCTAAGCAGGCAAATATCGCGGGTGGAGTTGGTTGACTTTATTATAGATGGAATTGACAGCAGTGTTAAACCCACAATTACTGATGAATTCACGGAGTATCGACGAACTGAAGATAATTATAAAACGCCGGTGCTGCTTAAGCGTGCTGCGCAACAATGGTTCGCAGTAAAGGCATGCCAAGCCCAACTGCCCATTCCCACATAGACCAAACAGGTCATTCTTACGGTGCTGCAAAATAGGCCATAATTACTCGACGTGCCCTAACCTCAAACCTGTACTTATAAACCTATTTTTAATCTTAGTTACTTGCCAATGTTCCCAGTTGTTGAAATGCGTTCGTCGCTTTTTAGATCTGTCCCGAAAGTGTCCGGCCATCTCCATTTTATTTTTATAAGGGTTGCCAACAAACAAGCTACTATACTTTACCGTTGCAGCGTTGTAACTGATTTTTTTTTTTGGCAACGGTTGCTCCCAACTGCTGCGCCCTCTGAGCCTACCCATTATTTAAGCTTAAGCTTACATTAGGCTTACAATAGGTAAATTCTAACTTTATGTCTACTCATTCCGATTTACTTTCCTATAAAAAAAAAAATCGTATATTTATTGATAAATATCAAGTTAAGGATTACCACGTTTCCGTACAAGTAGTTGTTAATTTTTAAAATATTAGGCTTGATGGCTTTTATAAGTTCTGTAATATCTTTTTCAGTTCTTCAAACCAAACGATTGTTCTTGAAATAATGTGCTTTTATTGAAAAAAAAAAATGAATTGAAAAATTTTGAAATAGAATAAAATTTTAATCGATCGAGCCAATATATTATTTTTTTAGATTTTCTATTTCAAATATTGCTTTAAGCAAGCTAAACCACAAAAGATTTAAGGACATGGAATTCATTTGTCATGTTTATTTGCAAGTAGTCTCATCTGGCAACGCCAACTTACGTGGAGAAGCATGTCAACAAAGTAACTGACTTTTGCTGCTGTCAAATTAAAAATAAATAATTTGTCTACCATCCCTGTCCCACATTAAGAAATCAATAGCATTGTATACCCATTTCAGTTGTGAGTGAAGTATGCAAGAAAAGCAAAAACTAGCGTAGCAACAACCACTGTCACAACCGAAATATCAACGACTATCGAATCGTCTTTCTTGCACGAAGCACGCAACACACGAACGAAACGAAACGAATTCATCGCACTACACAGCAACGGCTAACGGCGGCCATTGTGATTTGCCGACGACAGAAGAAGACAAAAGGACGTACGCGCTGGTCAAAAAGGAAATTCAAGCCGTATTGTAATAAAATTTCAACAAGAAAAATCTAGTTATTTCGTTTTCTTGTTGTGGTAATGTTTTTGTAACGGTTTATAATGCATTAATTGTTTGTGATTGCAATATTTATGAACTTGTTTGTTAACGGCTTGGAAAGTGTGTCTACTAAGTTTTGAAGAAATTTAGGGAAGGGCAAGTACGGGTGGCAAGTAAAAGTCGTCGTCGTTCCATTCAAAAGCCATTGGTGACGTGAAATCGTGTACATATTTGGGTAAATTCGACAAGAAAAAAATTCGGAGTATTGCTCAATAAGTGTCCAACTAGTGCAGCAGGTAAGTTAATTGCTTATGGCATTTACTAAATATACCACTGGAAAATGCAATAACAGGTGCTAGCAATTGAGTGGGTGCGTTGTGAAAATGTGAAACAATTATCCAATTTAGACAATTATGCTGGTGTCGTCCAATTTAGTGATAGTGCATTGATTATAAAAATAGCTAAATTGGTAGATTTTTTTTGCTTGTGTCAGAAAAGATGCCAGCGTTGTTGTTTTGCAGCGTATTTTTCATCTCATTCACACGTACCGCTATTTAATTGGCGAATATTGTTGCCAACTCTTTCTAACGTGTTTGTAGCGACAAGCACAGTTGTCGCCAGGCTAGCTTAATATGCGTTTGCAGTACTGTAATGCGTGCCTGCTCATGGCCTGAGCGGAGTAATATTTTTGTTTGTGTTCAAAATGTATTGGGTTTTATCTATTTTGTTTTTGTATACGTTTTCAAGAACGAAAAGTAAAAAGTAGTTGTTGGACTAGATTAGAGTTGCATTTGCTTGGTTTAAAAAATCTGAGAAATGTTGCAAATCAATGCAATTAAATAATTTTAAAATAATTCTTCCATTGGTAACGAGCCAAATGTAAACTGGATTTGAAAACAAACGATCTGTTTAGTTTTTGCAACAAATGTTGCTAATGCCCTGCAACATGTTGATAACTTCAATATGTTTACTTCGGTGGTGATTTTTAACTACTACTGATTACATTTTCACACTCATTTAATTTGTTGGCTGATAAGCAAAATTTGCTGTTATTTATGTGCATTCATACATGCATATGCAGGTTTTTATTTGTATACACAAATGCAATTAAATGATAGTTTTTCCTCAACGCTGTTTTTTCAAACAGCTAGAAAGCTTCTGTCTATTATTATTCCTTGCGTTAAACTTGCAATTACAAATTACAGTTTGTTTGTTGAGTTTGGACTTTTACACTTGTCGAACCCGCCGATTCAATTAACAACAAAATGTATCGTCCAGAAACTTTACCTATCAACAGAACAGATTTTGAAATTTATTCCTGATAAACTTTTTGCCACTATCACCTTGATCGTTGCATTTTCCACTTTCGGTATGTAGAAAATTAATAAATGTGTAATCTTTGTTTATTCCAGCCTCCGCAACTAAACACTTGCCAAGCCTTATCAGCTCGCGCACATTAGTACGCACAAATCACAATGGAACGAAAAAAGGTGCTTGAGCTGGACAAGATCTGTCGCGTGTGTATAGCAGAGCGTAAGGACATGCGTCCATTATTTAGCGAAAAGATCGCCGAGATGTTAATGGAATGTGCCACAGTTAACATTGAAAATACCGAAGGTTGGCCGGATAAAATTTGCATTCAATGCGTCCATGCTGTATCACGTTGTCATGCATTCAAAAAGCAGGTTGAACGCAGCGACAAGGAGTTGAGGGAGTATATCAAAAGCTTAACGGTGCGTGTGGTTATAGAAGAACCGAATGAAGTAAAGATCGACCAGTCAGCGCAGACGAAAATTTTGTCACAGAAACCACCCAAACTACAGTTGATACAGCCACAAGCTCAATTTCAGTTGCAGACACAACATAATCAAATGCAGTTACAACAGCAACAACAACAACAGCTCATTTTGCAACAACAGCAGCAGCAGCAGCAAAATCAACAACCACAACAGATGCAGCAAGTACAGCATTTGCAGTTGCAACAACAGCAACCTGCCAAACGTAAGACCACTAGCGCGTCACGCAAAACACAGCGTCAATCAAAGAAACCGCATTTATTGCCGCAACCTATGCAGCAACAACAGCATCAACAAACTCTCGAACAAGTGTCATTACAAACAATGGTGCCAAATGCTACACCTTCGCGCACACAAGCGCAACCAGCAACACAACATCTGCAAGCAACATTGCAAACGCAGCCACAACCACAGCAGCTAATTTCCACAACCGCCTTGCCACAGCAAATTGTGCTACCAAACGGACAAATAATTACCACCGCGCAGATTGTCACCCACGCCGGACCGCCACAGATTGCACAGATTATTAGCACTGCGAACGGTTCGGCCGTGCAGACAAATCCACCCACCAGCACTGTGACGACACAGCCCCAATTTACGCCGCAGCTTATACAAACGACCAGCGGGCAGACGTTACAGCTGATACAGCAGCCAAATGGTCAGCAAACATTGCAATTGGTGCAAGTTATGCCACAACGCACTATTGCCACAACAAATGGTGGCAGCGTAATGGTTACCACAGCCGAAGATGGCACTACGACTATTGTCGATGATGACACTTTAATCACGCCCGACGATCATCACCTTATCGAAGCAGACGAAGGCGATCTCGAGGAAGAGGATGAACAAATCTGTGAGACCATAGTTGTAGAGGATGATCAGCTAACCCATCAGCAGTTGCTTAGCGGACATCATAATATCGTGGACGAAGATGATTTGTCCCAAGGTGAAACACAAGAACTCGAGTACCTTGAAGATATAACTGTGACCACCTCGAATGCAGGACATTCGCATCATCAGCAACATCACACACAGCATTATCAACAGTTAAGCGACTGCGATGGTGATGCCAGTCAGCAGCATCATATGCAGTTGCATGATGAAGATGACATCATCGAAGAGATACACATGGAAGAGGAGGAGATGCTCGAGGATGATGGCGCTGACGTGATGCATGTGATGGAGGCGGATGGTAACGAATTTATAAGTGACGAAGATGGCAGTCAGCAGCAATTGGTTGGCGAAAACGGTGATCCGCTGCAGTACACCGTTATGGAGGTACCAGACGATGAGCTTGTTGAAACGGATGTGAAAGAAGTCATGCAAGCAGCTTGTGGTCCTGACATGCACACTGTCGTCGATTTCAATCATACAGTGAGTAGTGTAGGAAGCGGTGGAGATGGTGGCGCTGGCAGTGGTGCCTCTGTAGGCAGTCAAACACCTACATCCAAGCGTCAGCGTAAATCAAATTCCAAAGCGGTGGCAAATTCGCGCCAGCTTGTTGCTACGGCCTCCTCTATAGCGACTTCGGGGTCCGCGGACGATGTCGAGATCGATCCCAAATTAATAGCCGAATTTATAAGTCAGCAAACCAGTGTACTCGGTTCCGGCCGTCATGTGTGCAATTTGTGTCGCCATGAATTCAAACAATTCAAGGCGTTGCATAATCATATGCATCAACATTCGAATTGGATACGCGCAAACTGTAAGAAGCAGCCGCAATGTGAGATCTGTTACAAGAGTTTCAAAGGACCAGGTATGCTTAAGATGCACATGAAGACCCATCAGTCAGCGGCGCGCACGCCCACCTGCAATATCTGTCTCAAAAGCTTCAAATCAAAAGCGATACTCTATCGCCATCGGCAGACACATCAACTGCGCTCTTACGCCTGTGCCGTGGACAATTGTCGCAAAACATTCTCTATGCCACAAACACTGCGAACGCACAGCGACAACAAGCACGCTAACGCAGATCAGCCGAGGTTCAAATGTGGCGAGTGTAACATACATTTTGACGACGTGGATGTGTTGCACTCGCACGTGCAATCGGGGGTGCATGGTGGCACGATTACAATAGATGGCGGCGGAGGCAGCGATGGTGCAGGGGGCTCGGCTGGCGGCAGTTTAGATGGGTCAGGTTGCATGGATGGCAGTATGTCGGGCAATACGATAATTGTTGTTACGCAGGGTTAATTCCACTGATGCTAAGCACTACTTGCACCATTTTTGTAAATTAATTTAACTTCCTCCTATCGCAAAAAAAATGCTTTCCCATTGTGCTAGATTAAGTGTTTGATTTGTTCAAAACAAAACTAGAAAACAAAATTAGATTTAACTAACATAGGATTATTTTTCATAGCGACTACTACATTTACCAACTACATACAAACTTATGTATTAAATAAAACACACAAAAAAAATGAAGAAAGAAGTTACACGCATATTTTTAAAGTATACAAAATTTACAGTACACAATATTATTCATATGACAAAAAAAAAAATGCGAAAACTTTAGTAATAAAACGAATCTTAAAAAAATTTTCAAATGCATGAGTTTTGCGCTGAAAGGTATGTTTCACTTTTGCTTATAGTACAAAATAGCTCGGATTATTGCACAAGAAAACTATAAGTGCGGTTCAGGGGGACGTATTCGGGATGTAGCGTTATGCATCTGTAAAAATAAACAAGAAATCCTACAAAAATTAAAACCTTTATTAATGTCTTCGTATATATTTTCGACCTCATAAAATTAACTCAGTTCACACTGAATATTTTCCGCATGTTTACGTGCAATAGTCGTTCTTCACTTAACATGTTTTTTCTTTCACAAGAAAGCAGCATATACATATGTACATACATATGTATATTTATATAAGATGCTGACTTATGTATGCACGCCAAAAAAAAATCCTGAATATGTCAAATAAAGCAAAAGAAATGGGTGTTTTAATTAATATAAAGATAATGAACGGGGACATTTTTCCACGGCCTCTTTCTTTTTTGACCCGTTTAATTGGCACTTAATGTTGACAATGCGGGCAGCAATGGAGGAAAGATTTGGTAATTCCGTTTACAATAGTAAAAAATCAAACAAATATCGTTAAAAAAAAACACTTCGAAATTGTTTCCGAAATCTATTGGGGATTTTATGGGGAACGCTTGAAGTGTGGAATTGTGTCGATTTTGTTAAACTCCTGTACCATACTACAATGACTCACATAATAAGCTTTATTCAGCAAGTATATATGTATTGAAGTATGTAATTCCCAGGTACAGACAATTTTTTTGCCTGCCTATTTGATCAAAGCAAAAAAACCAAAAGTTGGGTCACATTTCATTTACTTCAAAAAAACATTAGTACAATAAAACTTATGCCGAATTTCCACTAGGCATTGAAATGGCAAAAAATGTATGCCATTTAAAAAATGTCATGTGGGAATGAACTTACTGAAAATATTTTTTAATATAATGACACCATTATTTTTAAATACTCGACTTTGTCATTTGTCAATTTTGCCATTTAATGCCTGGTGGAAATCCAGCATTAGTATTTTTTAGTACAACAGGTTCATACATATTCACATGCGAAATATTCTTTCCTTCATCTTCTTGGCCGAGGTTTAGGCCATCCGTTATTGTTCAGACGTACAGATTATTTTGCTTTGATTTTTTTGTGATATTTAACATTTTTTTTGTTGTATTTTTTTCCCCTTAATTTTTACTAATTTACATATATATATGCAAGTTTTTGTAAATTGCGCTTGTTATATTAAAAAACCCGAAAAAGTAGGCTCAAACAAATATTCTCACAAAATAACCCGATTTTTTAGCCGATGGAAAATTGCACTTCATTAGACTTAAATTGTATGGGCTATATAAATGCATACCCAAAAATTTTCTAAAAATTCAGAATATAAAGTTGAAGTTTTGATGAAAATTTGTTGAATTTTCGTAAATTTTGTATAAAGTTTTAAACTGTGATTTACACGATTCTGTTAAAGCTTAGACGACATTTTTATATAAAAATAACAAAAAAAAACAAATCGCTCCAAAAACATTACGAATATTTGAAGAAAATTAACACGTGGTCATTTGTTTGAGTCACTGTAAGTATTCCCATGATTAACATTTTGTGCTCACAATCAGTAAAAATGTCATATCTACAATTTACACAATCGACTAATGATACTTAATTGTTTTTCAGCTAATTAACGGCTTTTCTTATTAATTGTATCTATATAAATATGTAATTATTTAGAATCGCTTTTATTTAAACTACGCCATAAACCTTCTTCTTCTCCTCTTCTTTTTTGGCGCTGTAACCGCCTAAGCGATTTTGGCCGAGTTCAGCAAAGCACGCCAGTCGTTTCTCCTCTGTGCCAACTGACGCCAATTGGAAACGCCAAGTGAAGCCAAGTCCTTCTCCACCTGATCTTTCCATCGCAGTGGGGGCCTCCCTCTTCCTCTGCTACCACCAGCGGGTTCCGAGTTGAATACTTTCAGAGCTGGAGCGTCGGTGTCCATTCGAACGACATGGCCAAGCCAGCGGAGCCGCTGTATTTTAATTCGCTGCACTATGTCTATGTCGTTGTAAAGCTCATACAGCTCATCGTTCCATCGTCTGCGGTACTCGCCGTCGCCAACGCGTAAAGGACCGTAAATCTTCCGCAAAATCTTTCTCTCAAACACCCCAAGAGCCGCCTCATCGGATGTTGTCATTGTCCATGCTTCTGCGCCATATACCAGCACGGGCATGATGAGTGACTTATAGAGCGTGGTTTTCGTACGTCGAGAGAGGACTTTACTCCTGAATTGCCTACTCAGTCCAAAGTAGCACTTGTTGGCAAGAGTGATTCTACGTTGGATTTCAATGCTGACATTATTATCGGTGTTAATGCTGGTTCCCAAGTAAACGAAATTCTCTACTTTCTCGAAATTGTAACTGTCAACAGTGACGTGGGTGCCAAGGCGCGAATGTGCTGACTGTTTGTTTGATGACAGGAGATACTTCGTCTTGTCCTCGTTTACCACCAGACCCATGCGCTTTGCTTCCCTATCCAACTTGGAAAAGGCAGAACAGACTTCGCGGTTTTTGTTACCGATGATGTCGATGTCATCGGCATAAGCCAGCAATTGCACGCTCTTGTAGTAAATTGTTCCTGAGCGGTTCAGTTCTGCAGCTCTTATTATCTTCTCCAACATCAGATTAAAGAAGTCACATGAAAGGGAGTCGCCCTGTCTGAAACCCCGTTTTGTGGCGAACGGCTCGGAGAGGTCTTTTCCAATTCTGACGGAGCTGGTGGTATTGCTCAACGTCATTTTACACAGCCGTATGAGTTTTGAGGGGAAGCCAAATTCAGACATAGCGGCGTATAGGCAACTCCTTTTAGTGCTGTCAAAAGCGGCTTTAAAGTCGACAAATAGGTGGTGAGTGTCGATCCTTTTCTCGCGGGTCTTTTCCAAGATTTGGCGTATTGTGAATACCTGGTCTATGGTGGATTTGCCAGGTCTAAAGCCACACTGATAAGGCCCAATCAGTTCATTGACGGTGGGCTTCAGTCTTTCGCACAATACGCTCGATAAGACCTTGTAACCTATGCTTAGAAGGCTGATCCCGCGGTAGTTGGCGCGAATGGCGGGGTCACCTTTCTTGTGGATTGGGCAGAGCACACTTAAATTCCAGTCGTCGGGCATGCGTTCATCTGACCATATTCTGCACAAGAGTTGATGCATGCACCTTATCAACTCCTCGCCGCCGTACTTGAATAGCTCAGCTGGCAGGCTGTCAGCTCCAGCGGCTTTGTTGTTTTTCAGCCGCGTTATTGCTATACGTACCTCGTCATAGTCAGGCGGTGGAACGTCGACTCCGTCATCATCGACTGCGGGCTCGGGTTCTTCTTCTCCACAACTTTCCGTGCTGCTACCATTTAGTAGGGCGGAAAAGTGTTCCCTCCATAATTTAAGTACGCTCTGGACATCAGTTACTAGGTCGCCATTATTGTTCTTACAGGAGTGCGCCCCGGTCTTTAAACCTTCCGTAAGTCGCCTAACTCTCTGGTAAAATTTTCGGGCATTCCTCCTGTCGGCCAGCATTTCAAGCTCTTCGCACTCACGTATTTCTGCCTCTCTCTTCTTGTTGCGGCAAATACGTCTCGCTTCCCTCTTCAGATCCCTATAGCGGTCCCACATAGCGCGCGTTGCGCCCGATCGCAGCGTGGCCCTGTAGGCGGCATCTTTTTTCTCTGCAGCTTCCTGACACTCCTCATCGTACCAGTTGTTCTTTCGGGCTCGCTGAAATCCGACTACTTCTTCGGCGGCGGTACTTAATGAGCGGAAAATGTGGTTCCACTGCTCGCATATGTCGGTTTGTTGAAGAGTGCTCTCTGAGAGCAGGTGTGAGAGTCGAGTAGCGAAAGCGCTGGCTGTCTGTTGTGATTGCAGCTTTTCGACGTTAAGCTTTCCTTGCATATTTGGGCGCACATTTTTTGCTGCACATAGGCGGGTGCGTATCTTGGCTGCAACAAGATAGTGGTCCGAGTCGATGTTTGGGCCTCGGAGTGTGCGTACGTCTAAAACACTGGAAGCGTGCCTTCCGTCTATCACAACATGATCGATTTGGTTTCTCGTTTTTCGATCCGGAGACAGCCACGTAGCTTGATGGATCTTTTTATGCTTGAACCTAGTACTGCATACTACCATGTTTCGGGCCCCGGCGAAGTCGATCAGCCTCAATCCGTTGTCGGACGTTTCGTCGTGGAGGCTGAATTTTCCGACGGTGGTTCCAAAGATCCCTTCTTTGCCCACCCTGGCATTGAAGTCGCCAAGCACGAGTTTGATATCATGATGGGGGCAGCGCTCGTACGTGCGCTCCAAGCGCTCATAGAAGAGATCCTTGGATGCCTCATCCTTCTCTTCCGTCGGGGCATGGGCGCAGATGAGCGAGATGTTGAAGAATCTCACTTTGATGCGGATTGTGGCTAGACGCTCGTCCACCGGGGTGAACGACAGTACTCGGCGACGGAGTCTCTCTCCCACCACAAATCCAACTCCGAATTTGCGCTCCTTTACATGGCAGCTGTAGTAGACGTCGCAAGGCCCCAGACATTCTTTGCCTTGCCCCGTCCAACGCATTTCTTGGATGGCGGTGATGTCAGCTTTTGTCCTTACGAGGACATCAACCAGCCGGGCAGAGGCACCTTCCCCATTAAGGGTCCGGACATTCCAGGTGCATGCCCTCAAATCGTAGTCCTTTAAACATTTGCCGTGGTCGTCATCATAAGGGGGGGTCTCATCCGAGGCTTTGCCTTGCTTCTTCACTGGAAGTGGTTTTTACGTGGCGGGTCCCAAGCCCAGCGCACAACCCATTGCTGGGACGGGGGTGGTTTCGCAACCAAATACACGTTTATATAGCGAGCCGCTTGCTCCAAGCAGACACCCGCTTGCAGCCGCACCTACTGGTGAACAGACGCTGCCATAAACCAGGTGGCGTTTTTTCCACATGTGACAATAATGAATAAGATGCAGCACATTTGTGATGGGAATCCCGGGTATACACTCCAACAACTTATTCACTTGCTTTGCTTATTCCTTTGAAAATGATTTGCCAAATTTTTTTTTAATATAAAATATGTATGGACATGAAAAACTTCAGAGCACCGGCAGCACAGTTAAATATTAACCGATTCCAACATAAAAAAAATACTGGTATTCTTATTTTCGATTTTCTATACCCAATTCTGGGGGTGGCAGCAAAAATATTCCGAAAAGTTTGACTTTCTTGTATATTTTTGGACCACACTAATATACGTACAGATACACGTGGATTTCACTAGAATGGTGGAGAAATACTTAGTGCACAATGTATGAGATTATTGTTCCACGAACATTTTAAACAAATGCATACATGTATACACATGCATAATCTCGTTTAAAGCACAAAACCGCGTATCAAGGTAATGCAATACCTCGTATGTGAGGCTGCCCAAATTTTATAGTAAATAAAGCGTGAAAACTATCTTATTTCAAAACGGTTATTTCTTTTATAAAGTAATCGCATTTCAGGCTAGCTTTATATATAGTTATTTTGGTAGGAATGGCTAAAGCTTGATGTCAACAGCTTCCGGTGAACAAATATCTTTTTTGGCACAAATGTCAGTTACGCGGTTTTGTACTTTAGACGACGATATGTACTTATCTCTTTATGTATGTCTGTTTACAGTTAGAAATTACTTGTTTAAAACTTGCAATGCTTGTTGTCTATTCTCTCTACTAAAGCAATTTCGACAAGAAATTGCAATCAATCACCCTCTTGATAATAAAAGTAAATAGAAATACATATAAAACGTGGAAAAATTCTAAAGAAGACGATTGTGAATGTCAGCTTTATT